TTTTAGATATTATTTGTTATAAACTTTAAATTAAGTGAAAAAAAATCTTTTATTTCACCTTTTTTTTAGTTTTGATATCGAATAAAGAATGTTGTTTTTTTTTACTTAAAGTCTATATGTTATAAACCGTTATACATTTTTATATAATTTATTGGCTTCTTTTTTGTTAGATTTTTTTTTTTTATTTAGGTACCCCAAAAAAAACCTTATGGTCTTATCACAGAACACCGCGGATGAATATTTAATGGGAAGTTCACGCCTTCTTCCAAACCGATGTCGCAAAACTTGTCCAGTGGTGGAGTTTGAACCACGAATCCTTTGTTTCTTAGGCAAGTGCGCTACCGCTGGGCCACGGCTGCTTTGTTTATTCACGGTCGTTTAGATATTAGTAAAAAGCGCTGTGTTTTGGTAGAAAATACAAAAAACTTTTGAATCTTAAAATGGCTACGGTTCTTAACTACAGAGAATATTTTATATGGCAACAGTTTATTTGTTAATTAATTTCTAAAAAACCAATGATGTAGCCTTATTTTTAGCGTAAATCAATATAATAATACAAAAATTTTACAAAAATATAAATAAATAGAGGTAACAAAAATTTTTGCGCGCTTAAACTTAATACCTTTTTAGTGTAAATCATAGATTTGTTGATTTATTTGAAATCAATTTTCTAAAAATCTGACTGTAGGATTTCAAAATTTTTTTTTTTTAGTTCAGATAAATATGTTCTATATGTATGGTATTTTTCTGGTCATTGCTTTAACTTTTTTTCATTATAAAAATTTGTTTTTACTGTCATGACTATTTCCTTATATATCAAAGTGCAATTTCATTAATTATTTTGTTATTTACTACTTTTCTGTTACTATATATATATATATATATATATATATATATATATATATATATATATATATATATATATATATATATATATATATATATATATATATATAGTAACAAAAATAATAAAAGTAAAAAACACTTCAATATATAAGGAAAAAGTCATAACAGTAAAAGTAAATTTTTATATCGAAATAAAGTTGAAGCAATGATAAGAAAAATATCATCAATATAAAACATATTTATCTAAAGTTCCTTTGATACCCCCAAAAAACATAACAAGTTCCTAATATTACAAAAAAATTTTTTAAGTGTATCATGTTTGGTCTCAAATGAAGCAAAATTATATGAAAATTTCAATGTTAAATTTAACACCATAAAAAAGTGAAGTTTATTAACTAAAATAGAAAAATGTGCATTTTTACCAAATTTTGGCAATATTTTTTTTTTCAATAAGTTTTTTATAATATAATTATCATACTTGAAATTTTCATGATTTCGCTTAATTTAAAACAAAATGTCAAGAATTTGTCTCTAACTTTTGAAGATTTTTTTAATTGAAAATATTAGCAACTCATTATATGTTTAAGGGACTCCAAAAATATTTTCTCTTCAAAAAATTTTAAAAACCAGTGTTTTTTTATCATATAAAGCACACAGGAGGCGGCTGCTATATTTTTTAAAAATATTGTTTTTTGGGACGACCTTATAAGTATGAAGTATTTATCATCAAAACGCAGTGTAAACAATTTTATTTTTATGCTCTAACTGAAATAAAAAATATTAGGTGACTTTAATAAAATTAATAATAAATAATAACATGTAGCTAAATAAATTTAAAAAAATACCTTAATAATAAATAAGCTGATAATAATACGGTGCAGTTACGGTTCCAATCATATGTTGAATTAAATAATATTTAAAAAGCCACATAAAATCAAAATTGCTTATATTGTATTTTGATAATAAACTCTTTTTATGTTACTTTTACAGTACCAGAAATCAGCTAAATTGCAAATATTTGTTTGTAATATATATATTTTTTTCACTTTTGTGGTTACAACCCTTTATATAACTCTGAAACATGAACCTCAATAAACAAGGCCGCTGCACAATAAGCAAGTTGACAAACAAGTATATTATCACAACTATCATGCAAGTAACAAAAAAAAAAAAAGCAAAATTAATTTTTAGTACGAAAAATTTCGTTCTTATATTATAAATATTAGTAATTTAGCTAATTCCTGATATTGGATGTAACAGTAAAATTTATAAACAATATAAATAATACAAATACACACACACACACACACACACACAAACACACACACATATATATATATATGCATATATATATATATATATATATATATATATATATATATATATATATATATATATATATATATATATATATATATATATATATATATATATATTAAGAGCTTGAATTATGAATAACATATTTGTAACAAAATATAATTCTTTAATCCGTTTTTAAAGCTTATGCTGCTATGGTGTAGCAGAAATAAAAAACGAAATGTCTTTTTATTTCTGCTTTTTATTGCTTTTTATTTCTGCTACACTATGTATGGTGTAGCAGAAATTAAAAAAAAATAATAATTTCCAAAATTATTTCAATAAAATTTCACATGTTTATCTGCCTGAAATGTTTTGTTTGATTTCTTGCTCTTAATGTTATATTCCTATTATAGCATAGAAATCCTCCCAGAAGCATTGTTTTCATCAATTGTCGTTCACAAATGGTAATTTTGGTAACGAGTTGGTAATTTTTAAAATAGTTTCAACACAAGATTTGCACAATTCTTTAACATAAATTGTGCAAAGACTGGTTGCAGATGAAACTTTTGCTCTGTATGCTTTAGTAAAAAAATTATAATAATTACGTCACAAAAGCATTACACAAATAATGATCAACCTGCAAATATATTATAGAACTACTTTTAGAACTGTTTCCTTCATTAGTTTATGTGTTGAAGATGTTCCGGACTTAACTCCATTCCTTTCGAAAACGAACTCTGGGGCATATTTTCGCGTCACGGTAAAGAAAGAGGCGTGAACTTCCTGGTTAAACACACTTCCGCGGTGCTCTGAGACAAAACCATTAGGTCTTCTAGGTGTACCTAAATAACAAACAAAAAAAAAAACAAAAAAAATGCCGTTCTTTTATTCTGCCTCGAATGCAAAGTTATCGGCATCTTCGTTAAGCTTAATAATATTCTTATGCAAAGAGGCAATTTTAATATTTATTTCCTGAATTTTTAAAACAAACAAACAATCTTAATCTCTTTTTCTTCTCCTAAATTTTAGATTTATGAACAAGTGATTGTTGATACTTATGTCGAAAAAATTTGACATAAGATTACAAGTTCTTTGACAGAAAATTGTGAGATTTAACTTTGTTTATTTTATATAGCCGCTAATATAAGTAATAGGACTTTCTTCGACAAGATTTTCATTTTGTTTTCAGTAAAAGTTTGCTTAACAGTAATCTGATCGTAAGATAAAACTTAAACTATTTGGAAAACAGACCAAAAGGGTTTATAGTTAGAATCTAAACCAATGTGCTTCCAAAATAGTTTTATGTTAGTCTTAATAACATTTGAAAAAAACTTTGAATACTCTTGTTTGTCTTTCATTGCGGTTTCATAAGTTTTTTCAAACCAAAAAGGATTTTAAGATTTTTACTTCCTAATAAAACTGTTGACAACTCAGCCGTTTCTAACATAACTTTAGGAGAAAAACAAAAAGTAGTTTCAACAATATTATTTTTCAATAAACTTTTTTCTGTAAAATGTGTGTACATCAACTAGACAAAGCACCTTACTCAAGATTGCGAAAATTTGAGTAGCCGTAAACACAGTGGTTAGCGCGCTTGCTTCAGAAGCTAACAATTTGTGGCTTAACGCCTGGTCAAGTTTTATAAGATTGGTATAGAAGGAGGCGTGTTAACTATTTATAACATATTAACTACTTTCAATCCATCGGTGTGCAGAATTTTAGAGGTAGCTAAAAAAGTAGCAGCTGTTATATATTCACAGTCTGCATTGAAGGAAGGAGACTCATTAAACTAATTTTCATATTTATATTAAATATTATTCAAATCAAAAATAAATAATTTGAATGAGTTTTTTATATTGTCACTTTAAAGATGAAAATAATTTTCAATTGATTTTACTAGTTTTTTTTTTTAATGAAGCGTGCTGGTCTGATTAAGGAATCAAAATGTTCCAATTTAGGAAACCGATTACCTTGATTGGAACAAAATGCCTTGACAAAACAAAGTTTATTTTCAATAACGATGGAATCGATCAATTCGATTAATGGTTAAAAGTATAGTAGGATTGTCTGTTTATAATAATTAAATCATTAACGTTTTCTTAGTAAAACCATTTATAATTAAAATATATCTATTACTTAGTTGTTCCAATTTCGACAACTCTCCCATATCTAGAATTTTACCTAAAAACCGCTGTTTTTAACGCTTTATTTAACATCTTAAATAGGCTAATAATAAAAACCTTTGTTCCCAAAACCCAGACAAATATTAGTTAGATAACCCCTCAGACCCACATTACTCTAAATTGAATTATAGTGATTAGTTTTTACCAATTTTCATGTGTGTTTGTAAATATGCTCGAAGTAAATTTGTAAAATATTCATAACCGATGCTCTATGAAAGCCCAAACTTTTTTGGGTTTTCATAGTATTTAAATAAAGTAAATATTTCATATTTTCGACGTATGTCATTTTTGGCGAAAATGGACATACGTCGTTTTCCCATAACGGGTGCGATATGCTTAACTAATATACTCCATTAAAACCTGAGGTTTTTTGAATGTCTTTCATGTATTTAATTTTGACTTATAAAATGTTTTATGATCAAGATAGTTTTGAAAAACACTTCTAATTGGAGCAAAGAATTTAAGCACAGGAGCTTGAGACCTAATAAAATATTAAAATTTTGAGCTATTCAACGTTTATGTTAGCAAGGTTTTACTTATATTAGCAATCTTTTACCAAAGGACAGATTCTTTTAGAACAAAATTTTATTAAAAATATCAAAGAGCAAACACCACTGTTGAAAAAAAATGATCTTTGTTAATAATTTGCGGAAAAAATAAAACACAATTCCACCAACCAATACTTTACATATTTTACATTTATAATTGAATAAAAAAAAGCACAAAAATCGTTTTTAAAAAGTTAATGCTATAAAAGCTGTCTGCATATGATGAAACCTTTACAATGAAACTTTATACAATTATTTTTAAAAAATAAAACAATTTTTTATTCTAGACATTTAAATTAAATATATATATATATATATATATATATATATATATATATATATATATATATATATATATATATATATATATATATATATATATATATACATTTACCAAACATATAATGTATATAAATTAAATAAAATAGTTTATCGACTAACTGGCTCCGGCTTCTTTAACCGTTTGCGCAATTCTTTCGGAAGTTTCTCATGGCAGCGTAAACACAAAGGTTTCATATCAATTTCTTGAAATTTGCTCCTAATAAAAAACAAAAACTTAATACAAAAGTTAAGGTTAATAAAGTTTGTTTAATTTTTTTCCAGTTTAAAAAAAATGCTTGATTACTGATACGATCAAAAAATTATTAACAAAACGACATGCGACATGATTACACTCAACAAAACAAAATCTAAAATTTAGTTTAAAAAGTTTGAATCTAAAATTTTTAAATTTTAAAATCTTTAAATTTAAAAAGTATATAAAACTCAGTCAACAAAATCTAAAACTCCGTTTAAAAAATTACTTTAGATTTCGACTTCTGGTTCTCACTTTCTATTTTACGAAGGAATATTACAATAAAACAGATGGTGTTGCAATATTCTCTTTTACGTTCTCCTAATATTTTCATCAGATTTTATGAGCAAACATGAGTTAATAATTGTTCCACTTCTTAATTAAATTAAAATTAGAATTTTTTTTTCATTAATATTCTCAAGATGTTCTCATAAAATAAATGTTTACTACTAATAAAATGCAAAATAACTTTTGTTTAAAAGATTCACTTCCAAAGCTACTTAAATCTCATGTTATCCACAAATTTTCTTGTGCTGGCTGTAATGCCAGTTTATATTGGAGAACCCTCTAGAAATTTGACAACTTGAATATACAATTCCATGTATATAAACATTTAAATACATCAATTAATTTCAAGAAACTGTCCAATTGTGATTCTTTTGAGGTTTTGGATATAGCATCCCTCCCCCCACCAGAAAATAAATACCCTGAAATGATCGAAATATGAAATGCCCTGTTATGAAAATGAAATTTGGATGAATGCTGATTTCAACCCATTCAACAACGCTAATTAAATGCTTTAAAAATTATTTAGCAAATGCTTTAAATATAGCCTTAGTGACTCCTCGTGTCGCATGTAGGCAATTGCATAGAAACAACATCCCTGCTGAAGGTACATGCCAATATTATAAAAGAGCAATTTGGTTTCCATACCTAGATTCAGTAATTCAATGTATGGATGCTCGGTTTTCAAACCACCAGCAACAAGTTATGAAAATGTCTGCTCTGTTACCATCAGTGATTTCTCAACATAGTTGATATTACACTATGTTGTACAGCTGAACGGAGCTTTAGCGCCATGAATATTTTAAAAAGTCCTTTGCGTAACCGAACCAATGACGAGCGTTTAACTGGCTTGGCATTATTATATATTTATAATACCATGCCTTTAGAAGTAAACGACGTAATTGATAGATTTGCAGCTAGTAAGAAGAGACGCTTAGATTTTGCATTGTAGATTTTGTACTTAGTTTATTTATTAAACAAAAACCCTAATAGTCTAAAAAAAAAGTGAAATAATTTCCCGAGGAAATTTAACTATCTATATAAGAAACTAACTCCCCATAGTACAACTCCAATACTATCAGTCGATATCTTTTTATTTTTAATTTCCAAAATAAGTTATGCTAACCACTTTTGGTATCAACATCCCCCCCCCCCCCCCAAAAAAAATAGATCCGTCACTGGTGAATGTTGATAAATCAGGCTGGAGAGATGACATGAAATTCTTGCATCATCTAACACTTGTGTTCAAGTTCTATGAAGAAAAAGGACATTTCCCACTTTTTAACTTTCTAAAAATTTATAATATTAGTAATGCACGTTGGAATTCAAGAGCCAACCTTGCCATTCTTGTTTTTGTTCTTATACATAAAACAAGACCAACATTACAGAAAATCAGCTGATCAATTTTACAAGGTAGACTATTATAACTTATATATAGAAAATATGAAGCATATGCAACGCTCTAGTAACTGTATTGAGCATTTCCATTTCTGTGCGTGACTTTTTATTTTTCTTTGTTTCAGCAATTAAAAGCTGGGACTTTATGCAATATGCATACTATTTTGATTTTCTTAAAGAACATTTTTTTTTTTTTTAATTTGCATTCACTCCCAACAAGGCTGCAAGCAACCACTATTAAGTTGGGAGTTACTAGGAAAAAAAAGAACAGAGTTATAGAGCAAGGAAACGGTTGACAGAAGACTTGAAAAGTTGAAGGTTGTATGAGTCAGGAAAACATAAAGATAGGAGAGAGTTCCAAAGGATTGAAGTGCGGGGAAAAAAACTAGATGAATAAAAGTTTTTAGAGCATGCAGGGACAGATAAAGTAAACGAATGAGACTTGACGAGCTGAATGACGAGTAAAACGAGAATGAATTTTAGTTGATGGAACTAGAGATGATAACTCCTTTGAGCAGTGACCATAAAAGTATTCGTAGAAAAGAGAAAGAGATGCAACTTTACGACGATGGGAAAGAGGTTCAAGCTTAGCAGATAGTCCAGGTCCAACAACATTTACAATGCGTTTTTGGACCTTGTCAAGAAGAGAAAGTGAATCGTTAGAAGAACCAGCCCAAATATGACAACAGTATTCCATACAGGGACGAATAAGAGATTTGTAGAGGTAGAGAATGGAATCAGAAGTAAGGAAATGGCGAGCACGATAAAGAGAAGCAACCTTAGCAGAAGCTAATTTAGCAATCGATTGTATATATGGTTTCCATGAAAGGTCAGTAGTAAGCGATAATCCAAAAAGACGTAAAGAGGAGGACTCAGTAAGAGGATTGCCATTCATTAATATAGGAATGTTGACCATATTACGGTAGTTGCTTGCAGTAAGAAACTGGGTTTTTTTAGAGTTGAAATTCACAAGCCCCAATCTATTACTGAAGTGAGATCGGATTCAAGATCAGCTGCTTGTTCTAGGCGATCGAAAAGAGAAAACTTTTTGTCAAGATAGGAGTATAAAGTTGAGTCATCAGCAAAAAGAGCTACTTTAGATGAAAGGTTGTCAGGAAGATCGTTTATGTAGATAAGAAACAAAACAGGGCCCAGGATGGAACCTTGGGGAACCCCAGAAGTTACTGGAAATAAAGAAGAGTGTTGGCCTTCAAGGATGACTTTAATAAACCGGTTAGAAAGAAATGATTTGATAATCTCAAAAACTTTCCCAGAAACACCATATGAAGCAAGCTTATGGAGAAGACCACATGCCAAACTTTGTCGAAAGCTTTAGATATGTTGAGAGCAATAGCCCTAGCCTCACTGCCTCCATCTAATACACGATAAAATCTTTCAGTTACAGCAGTTAGCAAGTCGGCCGTAGAGCGAGAGGATCAAAAACCGTTTTGATTGTCTGACAATAGTTTATTTGACTCAAGATGAGATGTGAGGAACTTGTTGATCAAAGACTCAAAGACCTTGCTAATAACAGAAAGAAAACTGATCGGACGATAATTGGAGGGGTCAGAATTTTCTCTAGAGTTTTTAAATATTGTGATTTGAATGTCTAACAATGGGTCAACCTGTTTGACTGGAATGGAAGGAAGAGAATGTCCATAAGATTCAAGAGTGGAATTAGAAGAAAAGTTCTTTGCAAATAGTTCTGCCTTATCCTTGGGAGAGGTAATAAGATCAGTCCCATGAATGAGAGATGGAATGTTAGATCTAACCTTGTTAATAATGCTGTTGAAGATTTTCCAAAAGTTTTTCAAGCCTAACTTCTGCGATAGGATGCGAGATTTAGTGAACTGAGAATAATGGAGTATAGCATCAGAAAGCACCTTTTTACATCGATTTCTTGCAATAATAAATAGCCGTTTGTTCTCAAGAGAGTTGTTCTTTTGAAAAAGATGAAAAAAATAATTACGATTAGATATAGCAGCCGCACAAGAAGGAGAAAACTATGGAGTAGAATGAGGCTTGACTTGAAACCGACGCGAAGGAATAAAAGCTTCCATTCCAGCCTGAATCCAGGAGGTTATGTAGGAGGCGCATTTGTCAGCTGAGAGAGAAAAAACATCAGCCCAAGGACCATCACAAAGAAAATCACGAAAGGAATCCCAGTCAGCTTTAGGGTAGTAGTAGGTGGTGCAATGATAAGGTGAGCCCAAAAAAGAAGTACGAGAAGAAAGATTTATAGAGTTCATTGCATGGTCAGAACCACCTAAGGGAGAAAAGGGAGAAACTGAACATAAGCTAGGGTCAGAGACAAGACATAAGTCAAGGAGTGAAGGTAAATGATTAGGGTTGTCAGGAAAACGAGTAACAAAGTTAACTATCTGAGTAAGAAATTGAGAAACGCAGAAGTTAAAGGCTTTAGTGCCAGCAGGATCAGTGGTGTTAGAGCCAAGCCATTCAGTGTGATGGGCATTAAAATCACCAACAACAACAATATTGGCAGAGGGGTAAAGAGAGAGGGCATGGTCAATTTGATCAGAGATAACATCTAAGAGCGTGCAATCATGGGAAGAAGGAGAACGATAAAGAACAAAGAGAAAGGTGATAGAGTGAAGAGGTGCTAGGCGAAAGCACATAAAAGAATGGTCAAAGGATTCGAACCTGATTTCACGACAAATAGGGGAATTAATGCATATGTATGCCCCTAAACCTAGCATGTGACTATTTGAGTCTTTACGAATCAAAGGATAATACCCAACACTGACATCTGAAGAAGGAATTGCAGAATTTAAATTTGTTTCACTGAGTGCAAGCAAGTCTGGTGAATTTTGCAGGAGGTAAGACTCAACTGATGGAAAGTTGCTTCGTAGACCGCAAATATTTGTAAAAGATATATTAAAATATTTAGGTGGTGGGGATGGTTTTTTAGGTTTTAAATTTTTGGTTACTTTGGTCATGATTTGGGTTTAATGAGAACTTGACTCATTCATAGATAGAGCACAGCCTCCTAATCAATGAGCTATGCAGTTGTCTCAGTCCTGTTAATTAACCCTAAGCCGTGACATAGGACTCCTTATGTGGCCTTGACAATGCACACCAAAAGCATTAACAGGGACACCATCCATGCGCAACATGGCACTGTTAATACTCTGATATTTTGCAGCTGTTGATGGAATCAGCCTCTCTGAGAGCTACCACAGAGTTTGGGAAAACAGAACTTTTCTGCTTACCCCTAAAGTCTTTGTCTAGGAGGCCTTCTACAAAACAGTAGCTGGATGCAG